GGGATTTGAACCGGTGACCTTCTTGCTGAGAGGCATCAGCTCTACCAACTGAGCCACCGTGCCGCCAGAAAATCTACATTTTCTGTTTATTTTATATTTTCAAGTCCTCACACTTCAGTTCAAACAAACACCCTAAATATACGGGACGAATTTGCTGCAAAACTACATGAAATAAAAAAAAGAAGTACTTATAGAAGTAAAGTAACAAAGAAAAGGAAACAAAATAAAACAGCTCACCAGGCGTCCTTGACCAAGACCTTTGACTACAACACGAACAAACTTGACTCCCTTTTCTGTGGCTTTCTGTTTGAACAAAAAGAAAAATTATTATTTGTTTAATGCAACACCGAGTGGGTTTCTGAAAGATCCAACAGGATTCAAATAAGCACAACAATGAGCTACAGCTACACCCTGTCTATAAAAGAGATTAAAGTGATAAAGAAGCTGACTTGAATTTATTTTAAAATTCTTTCCTGATAAGAGTTCCCCTAAAACATTTCCATTTTTCATTTGTGCCCAAATATAACAACAGATCAAAATATTCTGTCTAAATGTACTTCGTAACATTTTGGTAAAAAGTGTATTTCTTCACTGTCTTTACAGCAGGAAGAAATAYGTTAGCTCAGTTGGCCTGCAGCTGTGATAAATCAGACTAATGCCAAGTCCGAATGAGCTTTTTAATGCTGACTGCTCCACTCGGCCCGGAGAAAGCAGTTCATTTACCACAGGCATTTAATATTCATGAATTAAGCAGCGCTACTGAGAGTGGTGAAGCTGCACGTGCTGTGAAGTCCTCACTAATTTACTTGTGAGAACATTTCGCAGGGATAATGAGGAGTTCTTGATGGCTACAGACACTGTGGACTCGCACAGATTAYACAGTAAAAAGCACTGCAGTTCCCGAGCGGAGGGCGCATTTAGTAGCACGAGAGGAGATAACTCACAGTGGCGATGGAGATGCCTGCAGTCTGAGCAGCGATGGGCGTCGACTTCTTAATGTTCTTGAAGCCCTCTCTGCCGCAGGATGTCCTCTCAATATACTGACCCGCGCAGTCTGTTAGCATGATGTGTGTGCTGGAATAGGACAGAGTTGTTTAAAAGATCACYTTCTCACAGAACAAGAGCACTTTGTCACATTTCACTGTCAGCTACTTGTGTTGCCATGTGCAACTAGACATTAGAGTTGGCTTTGTAATATTATGTAAGCTTGCTTCCTGCACATCACTTCTTGTTCTCCCACTCCATCCTAGCATCACTCAYGAACAAGACACCCGGATACTTAAAACTCCTCCACGACCCGRMGRGGGCTTTTCACCCAAATGACGTCGGACTTTAAGAGGTACCGACTCCCATCCCAGCCAYTTCAGATTACTCTGAAGGTCTTGGCCTGAAGACGCCAACAGAACCACATCATCTGTATAAAGCAGAAATGTGGTTCCCAAACCAGGCTCCCTCCTCCACACATACCTGCACCTACAAAACTTTATTGAYTGAATTTAAATAGAGCAAGAATAAATGTTATAGAATGATGGTGCAGTTGGTAGAGCTTGGTGTGAGAAGGTCGCAGGATCATATCCTGTCCAGCATCCTTTTACATGGGTTTTCTCTGGGTACTCCCTTTGCTGCCACAGACCAAAAATTGGGCC